ACTGGAGCTGGCTCCAATATCGTGCCGATGGGTTAAGGGTTCCTGCATCGGGAAAAATTTAGAATAGGAAATGGTTGTAGTGATAGTGTCAACCCTTTCCGCTCATCTACCTTTTTCATCTTCCGGACCTTGTTATTTTACCGGACCAAGATTACCTCGTTCGTCACGGTACCTTGACTTTCACTTTATGCACGCCTACTTACCTGTATGTTTCTCTCTCTACTCTCCAGCTTATACAATACAACAGTCGTTGAGTTTTCGTGATAGCAGTCGTTCTGCTTTGGTTTGTTACCTCGCCCGTTGTTAAACGTACGAATTCGCGGATATCATCAACCCAGAAACTAAATGGTGGATGTGAGATGTGGAGGTAACAGCAACAAGCAGAATAAAGTCAAGTCAAGTCAGGTCACAGGACTTTAGGCTCGGTCAGTGGACGTCCAGGTTCTTGCACTTGTGAGCTGGTGATTCCCACTGTGCTGCGACTGCCAAGTAGTGCCACAGTTGTGATGGGTGTTGTACCTACAAGGGGAGAGATGAAGAGCAGTATCGGGGTAAGAGCAGTCTCAATCATTTGACAGGCGCCGCACCTCAGCGGGCTGCTACTCCTGCCATGAAAGCTTCCCGAGGGCTGATGACAGAAAAAACAATTTTGGTGTTAATTGTGCGTGAGGTGCGTGATGCAAAGGAGTGATGGTAGAAATAGGCAACGTCTAAAAAACGTGGATGTGGGTAGTGATTGAGACTTGTACTAGTCACACTGGAAACACCTCGTCCCAGCAGTTGTCTAGTCTTCGCTTGAATTGCAGAACACAAGATGTTGCTAGTACTGTAGGTGGAAGTTTGTTCCAAGCGGTTACCACGCGGTGGGAGAAAAATTGTGCCCTGGCACTTCCGTTGACCCGTGGTTTCATCAGCTTCAGGTCATGCCCTCTGAGGGTTGGGTTGAGGTTTCGTGTTAACAAGCATTCATCTGTTACTGATAGTCCTTTGAGCTGTTTGAACGTCTCAATCAAGTCCCCCCTCAGGCAACGGCAATGCAATGAGAATAAGTTAAGGGCCGCCAGTCTTTCTTTGTCGGACTTTCCCTGCAGTCCACTGATCATCCGGGTGAACCTTCTTTGTACTGCCTCAAGTAGTTGTTTTTCCCTTACAAAGGGAGGGGCCCACGCCTGGACACAGTACTCCAAATGTGGCCGCACAGACGCCTTATACAATGGCAAGATTACCGAAGCCTCCCTCGATATTACCGTACTGCAGAGTTGAAATACGGCTCTATTGGCCTTCGCTGCATCTGCGGCGCATTGCATTGAGGGCTTAAAGGAGGAGTGTATATGCACCCCTAACTCCTTAACTACATCTGCAGGTTCTATGGTGCTCATCGACCCAGCGCCTAGTTGTCACACCTCCGCGGACCCCGTATTTAGCAGCAGGTGCCTGCACTTGCTGCCGTTGAGAGGTAGTTCCCATGAGGACGCCCAGTCATCAATTGCGTTAAGTGCATCCTGTAAATCCCCCTATGAAGGATTCTGTAATAGTTGTAGAAGTAGTAGTAGTAATAGGCACGGAATTCGCAACACCAACCCCGCAACAGGAATCACGGAACACGAATTAGAAAACCGATGGCACTGGACCGCAATGGCTCGAACTCGCAATAACCTGCAGGATCGAAATCGAGGAAGAGCCACAAGACAGGCGAATCACAAAGTCGTTTATTGAAGGAAATGAAGGTGAATATATATGTACCGCAAGACCAGGCGAAAAAGTCGTTTATTGAAGGAAATGAAAGAACGAGAAAAAAGGCCACAAGACAGGCGAATCACAAAGTCGTTTACTGAAGGAAATGAAAGTGAATATGTACACAAGAAAAGATCATTGGCTACCTTAGTTCCACCAATAGTATTACATCACATCTTGCATCACATTGCTCTTCTCTACATTGTATCTGATTGACTAGAACGGCCCACCAATGACGTGTATCCGGAGGCTGTGCACGTGCTACTGGCATCAGCGCTGAAG